ATTTATATTTTAATTATTTTATTAATTAATTTAATAAATTTATTTAAATAGATACAATTTTAATACTTAGATTTTGTAATTTTAGAATAAAAAAATGTACATATATAATTTGAAAATGCTAGTGCTTCTTCATGCCGCACTTGAGAAGTTATAGGTAAGCATTGCTACCAAAATTCTTTGGCATTGCCTGGTGCTGTTATGAGTCGGCTTCTTCTAAAACACAAGTTTAATATAACTTGTTCTGATTATTAGTCTAAATTTTGTAAATTAAGGAGAGTTGAGCAATCATACATATGTCTAAGAATTTAAAATTGATCAATAGAGCTAAAAGATCATACGTACTTAAACATAACAATTGTACACAATCAAGATATATAATCATGTCCATAATCACACATACTTGAAAATATATGCAGATTTACATAAACATATATGATAATAATATTATTTTAATGAAAAATGATGTGTGCACACCCGAATTCAACAACTCAAGTGTGCACATTCGCATAAAAATAAAAAAATAGAGAACACTCAATTCATTTTTTTATTTTTATGTGGGGGTGCACACCCAGGTGTCGAATCTGGATGTGCACCAATCATGGTCCTATTTTAACAGATTCTCTTTTTTTGCAATGAGTTTTACTATAGTAGGTAAACGCCATCAAGGGACCTAGCTAGCCTTAGTAGTATTGCTCCAAAGTAGCTAATCTTGGAATAGGTATGGCAACTAGAGGGTTCATTTTCTTCATAACAAATCCAAATTTCTCAGATACATCAAGCTCCACCTCAATCGGTATTTCCCATTCAAAAGTGTGCAACAGAGTAGCCAACGCATACTTCATCATTCTCTCAGCTAGAGGAAGACCCGAACAAATTCTCCTCCCAGACCCAAAAGGAAGAAAATAAAAAAAGTTTCCATGGTAATCACCTTTTTCTGGCTCTTTCAAGAACCTCTCCGGTTCAAACTCCGAAGGGTTTTCCCAAACCTCAGGGTCCCTCTGAATTTTCCATAAATTAATCAAGATTTTGGAGCCTTGAGGGATTGTGTATCCGGCTATGCAACAATCCTTGCTGGGGTTGCGGGGCACCAGGAAGGGAGCTGTTGGATGTAGTCGGAGTGTCTCTTTTATGACTGCATCCAAATATATCAGTTTGGGCAAATGAGATTCCTCCACAATGTTCTGGTTTCCGACCACTTCCTCAATTTCTTC